TCTGTTGTCCTCCGAGTAAAACATCGCAAATCACAGCTCCAATGCCATATTTGGAGGCCACTATTATTTCCAGTTCTAGATTAATATTTGTCGAGAGTAAATCAGAACTGAGGGCTGTCTTGACTGCATCAAACGACTCCTGACATTCTTTCGTCCACTGCCACTCTTTTCCCTTCATTAATAACTGGTTCAGTGGACCCCTTGTTTGATGAAGGCTTGACAAAAAAGTGCTGTAATGACTGACTGAGTCAAGAAATGATCAAAGTTGTACAACATCTTTTGGGGGCACCATCTGTCTGATAGCCTCAATATTGTCAGGATCAGGACGTCGGCCACGCTTTTCAACGATGAAACCAAGAAATTTGACACTGTGCAGTGAAGAATTGCACTTCTCCGTTCGTAAACGGAATCCTGCCTCTTTCAGACGGGAGAAGACTTTATCCAATGTACCGAGCAAATCAGTGGGATCTGAGCCCATAATTAAGACGTCATTCAAATATACTGCGACACCGGGGATGTCATTGAGGAGCGTGTCCATAAATTGTTGGAAAATCGCTGGTGCAGTTTTCACTCCGAATGGAAGCCTATTGTACTTGAAGAGTCCCAGGTGTGTGTTGATTGCCAGGTATTTTCTTGAATTTTCAGCCACTGCAACTTGCAGATATGCGTCCGTGAGTTCTAGCTTTGCAAAACACTTTCCACCGTTCAACCTTGTGAACAAATCTTCAGGTGCTGGTATTGGATACTCATGGTTTTCCAGCATGGAGTTTAGACCTGTTGAAAAATCAGCGCAATTACGTACCTTGTCGCTGATCTTCTTTACAACCACTATGGGCGCAGCCCATTCTGAATAGTTGACACGTTCGATTATGCCTTCGGATTGCAACCGACTGAGCTCATCCACTGCCGACTGAGCTGCGTATGGAACTGGACGTTTGGGGACGAAAGCTGGCTTTGCATCTGGTTTGAGTTTTAATACTGCATTGGCTATACTGCAACAACCCAAGCCTGGTTTGAACAGTTCTTCATGGCGCTCTTTCGGTTCTGCAATATGGTCAGGAAGTTTTGTAGGTGATGAGAATAATTATAGTAATCGCCTGACATGTGATTTACTGCAAATATGAGTGATCAACTCGTCCAGTAGATCTAATTCCTCCATACAGTCGAGATCCAGTAAATCCAGTCCATGGTGATCCGTCAGGAAGCACATTGTGTGAACTGATCGGTCACCAAAACTGACTTCACAGTCTAACTCGCCAAACAATTTCAAGATATATCCGGAGGCATTTCGTGCCGAATGGGTGATGTGGGCGAACCTCGGTTGACCCAGTTCGTGCAACGTGCTTTTTGAGATTATTGTGATGTCGGAAACCGTGTCCAACTGCAAATTGGTTTCTCTGCCGTTGATTTACACCGTTACGTATTTACGTCTGCTGGCACCATCGACTTTGAAGGCAGATGTTATGATTCTGGTATGGTTGGTACGCCGGAGTGATTTCGTCTTCTTGTGTGCGCTTTGGCCTCTGGTTGCGCTATTCGTCAAGCAGCAGGTTTCCTTGTGACCCTTTCTGCCACACCGGTTACAAATGAGATTCCTGAAGGGACAGTTCCGTGCGAAATGCCACTCCTTGCAAAACCAGCATGCTGAAGGATGTACAGACTGTGATGGACTTATATGCACTGAATTAGTTCTCGTTCGATTGACCGCACAGATCAGCTCGTGGTTGCCATCTTTCGACGATTGTTGAATCATTGATGTATCGTGTTTCAGATTCACCATGCGTATGCATTCCGCTGTCGTCTGTTGTAGTGTGACTTCAGGGTTCTGTTCGATTTTATTCAGTAATCCGGTCCGAAAATCTCCATCCTTCGTTGATTGTACGCCACAGACGTAAATGAGGCACTTGTATTGGTCACTGGACTTTTTGTGAAAATTCGTCCGTTTACACTCTGTTCACACGACTTGAATGGCTGACCCAGGCCTCATCGTCTTTATGTCAAATGGTGGGACATTTGTAACGGATATTGAAAACCGATGTGGATTCTCCAAATAGTTGAGACAATACTGTGACCACTTCAGCGAACTTTAGATCTGTACTTTTCTTTGGAAAAATAAAGTTCAAAAACATTTCGTGCTCGGCAGCGCCCAATTTCAAAGCATTAGCCGATTTTTCTTTTCTTCTATCACATTAGCCAAATAAATATGAAACATATCTTCGTATGTATGGAACCAGGATTCGAAAGTTAACCCAGAATCAGCATCATAATGGAGCTCGCCGATATGCTGCTTCAGGAACTCCGGTGAAGGAACATTGTCTGGTGCCGCTGATATTGCGATTGCCTGCTTTGAAAAATTGTGCGACAACGTCTTGATCAACTTTGCTTGATATTTTTCAAATTGTGCCTATGATTTTTCAAACTGTGCCTGTTGATGTTGCAGTAGAGCTTGTTTTTGTTCAAAACTGACTGCCATGATTGAGTTTTGAAATGAAGATAGCCCGTTGCCAGTGTTGTATCTCTTCACCTTCCCTGACGCTACTGGGTTATAGTCAGAAGACAAGAACACGACCAACAGGAATTGTGCATTAGCGCAATTACAAACTTATATATATATATGATTCGCCTGTGACCGTATTTGATGGTCGATCCACTGTCAACCAACCGGTGTGTTTGCTCCATGCCCACACCGGTTCTCGGGCGGTTGTTCCTTTGTCCCGGTTGATCACAGATGGCCACCCGTGCGCCCTAGCCATGTAGTGAGTGTTAACTTTCTGTGTCCCTTTTTGACCTTTCTCCGGCACATGTAGAAATCGGACGTGATTCAGGCGTTTAGGCGTAAGCGCACGGCCCTGTTTGACATGATTGTTCAGCTGCGCAGTAGGCAGATGCGCAGTCGTATTAGCTACAATAACTTCTGAAAGTTGCAACATTCCAGAATACTGAAGCAAAATATGGTCGCAAACCTATCTTGTACCCTTGAGTGCAACTGGTAACTCCTACTCGAATAAGCGGAATCATACAGCCATATTGGCGACTTGGAAGATGGTATTCAGAGTAATGTCCGTGGCAGAAGCGCTTACTAATCTCTCATAATTCGTACGACTCTGCACGAAAGTGTCTCTTCACCACGTGAATTGTACTCCTCGGCATTTCAATAAATAGATAGAAGACGCACGTTTCGTAAACTTAATGCGAGGTTTGGGTTTTTGGCATATCACTTGATATTGCGCCGGAGGAATCTGGGTCGTGTTCACCGGCAGCGAAGCCCTTAACTACAACTTCATTGAATAACAGGCTTTTATAAGCAGGCCTCAGAGAGGAGTTACATGGTCTTAGGTTACAGCTATATATCGTACGCCTCTGGGTACGGCGCCAACCAGTGAAGCCCCATAGCAAATAAAGAAAACCCGAAAATTGTTAGTTTAAACTGCCGTTGCGCATGCTATATGGCCAAACGGACAGCTCATGTGCACGACCAACATGCGGCCAAAGGCCCACGATGCCTGGTCAAATTGCCGGATACAACTTTTTTGAACAAAAAGCAAAACAAATCCGTCTGATTTGCGAGAGAGGTTCTCACCCTTCTAGGACATTAAAATTCAAGCTTCAAACTTTAAAAAAGGAAGAGATTGGTTTAGCAGTGCGTTTTGTGGATACATGTCTTCGCCATTCTATGGAGAGACCTTCTTACTTATGTCCTGTTACATTCACGAACAGACTGGACCTTACCGTGGTCTGACGATTTGCGCACCTCAGCGATCCACTAAGCTATGCTGGGGAGTGTCCCACGACACTCACAGAGTCTCTTGTACCAGATTGGTCAATGGGTAGATGTCTGACGAGCGCAGACTCCTGGCCCTCCAGGTTGGGGCTGGAATATGTAGTGACTTGTTCCGTAGAAATGGTAATGCATTTGCATTTCTCAGCAAACGCCGCTGCCTTGCGGTTAGGCTTTTGAGCCAAAGGCTTTGGTTGAGGACCCTAATCGTCCTCCTGTCTAGGTGTGGGCACC